ATTTGTGTTTCTCAAATTTTAAAATAATAATCGTACAGTAACTCCGATAAGTATCCGCAGATAAAATTCAATTGAAACATTGTTTTTGTATAATAAAATAAATTGTTAGAATTTTGATATTTATTGAACAGTCAAAATCGATTTTTTTTGTCCATTTAGACATACAAAGTTCAGAACCAAGCGTTTTTTTAATCATTTGCCTGCAAAAAATAATAATTAATACAAATAAAAAATAAAAAAATGTGATCGTATTTTGAGAACGAAATTTTGTCTTGTTTTTGAGTTATGCGATTTTTTTTGTCAAAATTGCAAATAATGTAATTAAAAAAAAATAATATAAAGTTGTAAACCTTAGATCATAACCATCATGAGAAAAATAGTTTTATAGTGGGCTGCCATTTCAAAAAATTACAAAATTTGTAAAACTCAAAAACAAATGAAAATTTCGAAAAATTATATTCTTGACTATTTCATTCATTTACATTTCGGCCAATAGCATCTCGTCATTCAACAATGAGTAAAAAATTTCAATCGATAAAATTGATGAAAGCAAAATTTTATCGCCTTCACCTCATATTTAGAGCCAATGAGTGAAGGATATTTACGAACAAAATCGAAACCAAGCCAGTTTTCAAGTGATAAAATTTTACATCCATGGTAATAGTCTAAATAACTTCTGTCGTTTTAAATATTTTGACAGTTATTTCATTTAATTTGATTATTCATGAAATAGTCCTCCGAATACCATTCGAGGTTTTTCTAACAATATCACTCGATAAATTGCTATGCAACAAACTCTCGTACAATCTGAAAATTTTGCCGACAAAATTTTAMCACTTATGATATTACTACAGATAAAAYATCACATTTTTATAGTACTTTATCATTCGTCAATTAGTTTTTCCAAAAAATAAATGATTAAAGCAAAAAACGTTTGGTTCCATACTTTTTATTCACCTGGTATCTTTCTATCTCCTCAAAACTGTAATATCACCTCTTAAAATTTCTACACAACTATTAATTAAACACATTTTGTATAATAATGTTTTTCCCTTTACCGTATTATGAATGGACATACATCTACCCCTTTTTATTTAAAATTAAAAAAAGGGTAATAAATAATATTTTGGCTTTTAAAATTAAGACATTACCAAACGTCACAACAATTCCTAAATCGATTAAAGTAAAAACTTTTATTCAAAAACGCAAAAAATGGGCAAATTACTCCTACAAAATATAGTATAAAAACCCGTTTCGTAAGACCTCGAAACACCTTTTCTTTAAAATAACTCGTGACTACACCACTCGTTTTATAACTTGAATTCGTGCTTCAAGACGGGTCTTATGAAACTTGTTTTTTAATATACATACTATTATTTTAAATAAACCTGGTGCCACTTCTATCGCCAGTGTTTTGGTTCTAAGTTTAACCTCTAATCCTGTGTAATAATTTAAAAATATGTACTTTTCTTAAATTGTCACGGTTTCTTTAGATAATACATATACAGATACAACTCTAAAGAATCTAAAATAATCTTAATTTAAGTACTTGAGATAATAATACTGAAACGGTTCCAAAATAATCATAATTGCATCGCTTGCATACAGTGTTTCATCTAACACTTCCCAGGGCCATATGTCTTATTAATAAAAGAATAAAATTTTGATTTCACCTAATCCAACTAAATCTCTTTAAAGTAGGTATAAATACAGTGGTTTCTTTTGTTTATCGCTATAAGAAATATAATGTAGTAGAACCCCACAATAACGAGATATCAAGGGACCAAAAGATTAACTCGTAGTAGAAAATTTTCAATCAGTAGCTTTTATTTTAATAAATTTTAGTTTTGATAATTAAAAAAGAAATTATTTCAATCTTAGCTGATAAACCAACAGTCATGAACATTAAAACAAACTGATAAAACTGAGAAAAATTACCAACATAAAAAAGTTAATAATTCAAGTATCCAATCTTAATTTTTCGGAACTTCTATTACATTTTACCTTAGAAATGAATTTTAGCAGATTAAAAAAAATGAAGACCACTAGCATCATATACATACTGTAAAAATTTCGACTTGGGAAGTTTCAGTTATTATGTAAATAATAAACAATAAAAATTAATAAAAAGGTTCAAAGTTTAATGGAAAAAAGAATATTTTATAATATAATATCATTTTCTTGATCTCTTTATTTTTATTTTGACACAATAAAATTTGTTATCAGTTAGTTTCAATGATTAAATATACTCAAAAATTAGAGAAATTTTAATCATCGGGTTATTTGGAATTGAATTTATATTAGACGCATTAACCATTAACACCAAAAAGAAACATTAATCACTTTATTTTTATTCGTAATAAGAGCTGATAAATATTATCATATGTTGGAAAAACGTGCCACAATTAGTCTTTGTTCTGGTGATGACGTACTTGTTCGATTTTTATACATTTCACAATTAAAGCACATACCAGAAACCAAATTTAGGGCCACCTTATCTTCAATTTATTTCACTAGAAATATCACTTATCAAAAACACTGTGGAATTTGATGAAATTAAGCGCAATCCAAATCTGAGTACTTCATTTATTTTTTTTCTTGCTCTATTTTGGTCTTTTTCCTTAATTACTGCATGCAAGATAAGCCATTAAATAACGTTCCATATTTACATAACTAAAGGTTATCACGTTGTAATTCCTCATAATTGTTGAGGAAGTGATAAAAACCCCATTCAAGACTGGGTTAGTGAGACTCACCAGCAAACACCGATGCAATTGTGGCTATAACAAACGACAAGACGACCGAGGGCCCCGCTGTCTTCAACGCCACCTGTCCAGCCAGCACGTACACCCCCACACCAAGAGTACTTCCAACCCCTAGAGCTGTCAAATCCCATGTATTCAACACTCTACTCAACTCCGATCGTTCCGTTGACACGGGATCGAGGATTTTCTTCCTCGTCAACACCTTCCACACTGTCTCCAATGTCCCCATTCTTCCAACTGAGTCAAATATTGTCAAATCGACGACGATTTTGCCTTATCTCGGCTAGTATAACCACATCGTGATTACAGTCTACGAAAAGTAACAATGAGATCGGTGTGATAAGAACACTGTTTTATGATGTACTGTGSAAAAAGTTTCCTTGTATTTTTGTAAATTTAACATTGAAGCGAGTTATAACCTCAAACTCACCTGTTGATTGTGTTGTTAGACTGAATGCGTTAGAAATTGGTCAACATTGATAAAATATGAGAAATTTTTGTGGCGTATTTTTTCATGTAATTAAAATGAGATCATTGATAACAAATTGATAACAATAAATATCAAACCAATGACACCTGTCAAAAAAATTTATGGTTAATGGTCAAAAAAAAAAAGACAAGTCAAGTAGTGAGAGCGGTAAATTTAAATATTTATTATGTGTGATCAAAAACAAATAAAATTGAATTATGTAGTTACATAACTTTCATTGAGCGTTAGTCGAACTATAAATAAATTTTCTATTTGCATGTTAGCTTACAGTAATAATAAAAATTAATAAAATTGTTTTTTAATCATAAAAAAGTTTAAACCACAATAGGGCCTATTCTGTAAACATACAAACAATTTTAAAGGGTATTTAAAATTTTAAATCACATTTAATATTTCGATGCTATTCTGTATGTATCTTTCCTGTTAAAATTTTAAATACCCCCTTTATTTTTCACCTTTAAATG